CGATTTATTTAAGACTATCTACAATCTTAATATAATTTGTGGCCATAGACGATGTACCAAAAGACCAAACAAATAATTTTGTGTACAATGATGTGTTTAATAATATATAACATTACATTGTATTTCATTTCTATATATGTATTTTATGTTCTTCCAATCATCCAAATTTAACTGCTTACCTTAATAAAATTAGCCCGTGCATCGCACGGGTACCGCACTAGTTATTAATGAATGGACACTTAATTATTAGAGATATTATTAATGCTAAACTTGTCTTTGTTTAGAGATATGTATTAAATCACTGAGATACAAATCAATAGAGGTATTATTAATCCAAATTACCTACTAACATTATGGATTGTATATGCTATACTTGTCATTAATTTACTATATTAGCAAAATTATTGGTTTTCAAATCACGATATTTTTTATTTTTGTTTCTTTTTAATTAGATACACCTCCAATTTATTTATTTATTTTCATACACATAATATAACAACAGACATATTTTGAATTTTTTAAAAGTAAATAGATTTTGGCTTAAAATAATATGTTTTTGGCTTAAAATTGCTCATTTTAAGTAGGTAAATTATTCTCCCATATCAAATTAAAGATTCTAGTCGGCCTACAGACCTGGCCCAGACCCAAAACGGACTCGACCCGGTGAAACCCGTTAACCACGGGTCCGGGACCAGACTGGATTTCAGACGGACCGTTTCTAGGTCATCCATTTCATGACCCTCCCGGCGAGCTCGGGCCGGTGGCCCGCTTTTTGTCTTTTTTTTTAAAAAAAAAATTTCTATTGTTTTTTTTTTTGTAAAAAGATGACAGACTCGGCCCAGACCCGGACCGATCAACCGGGCCATTGACCTGACACGAGTATAGGTCGGTGTCGAGTCTAAGTTTTGGCCATATCTAATTCCATGAGAGTGTTATGTGCACCTCTATGTATATTTATTATGTACTTATAATATTTTTTCATAAAAATAACATAAAACTATACCACAAAAATTGCAAACCAAAAAGCTTCGCCCATCACTTCTAAGTTCAAATCTTGTGGAAGCCACAAACTTTTATGCGAAAAAGGAAAGTAGTAAATAACAAAAATGCGTTAATATATAAAACTCTTTAAATCTATCTATACTTATATTAAATGAGATCCTATTTACTAAATATAATAGTTAGGAAAGTCAAACTTAATTAATGAATTTCTAATTTTATCAGATATTTAATTAATGCATCTAATATTTTAGGTATGCAAATTAAATTAGCATTTAATTAGTTCCTAAAATATTGGGTATGCAATATTAATTTAGGAATATCCATGTAGTTCCTAAAATGTTGGTATGCAACACGTAAAAAAAGATTTTTTAATTTTTTAAAATATAAAATATTCCAACACGTAAAACTATTCCAGTTATTTTTTATTTTATTTTTACTTATAAAATCTAACTAATATTTAATGCATCCTACAAAATTAGATTTAGTTTAATTCCCCATACAATTGGTTGTAACTTTTTCAGTTGTGCTTTATTTGTTTATTTATTTAACACTTTAAAATTAATGAAGCTCTCCGAAAATATCAAATCAAATGATTTATGAAAGTTTTTTTTTTTCAAATTTATATCTATATACCCAGCTCAAAAAAATTGCATAAATATGGACGAGTTTAAGAAAATTTCATAACCCATCTTACAAAATTCCATCTCCACGAGTAAAAAAAATCACATCCCTCATCTATCGTAACAACTTTAAAGATAAATAAATAAAAGTCTAATTACTACTATAAATCTATTATTATTTTAGATTTTTTAAAAAATCTAAATTTCACCTGTCTAATTACTAATATTTTAGATACTTTTAAATATTATTTGTATAATTTTGTTTACACATTTGCTCTCTCTATATATATACTTATATGAAGGTTAAATGAAGAACTTTTAAACATGTTTTTTTACAGGTAGTTTAGAAAAATTTAGGTAGCTTCAAGCATTATTTGTGAATAATATAGAACTAGTACAATACTCGTGTACTACACGGTAATTGTTAAGAAAATTATTTTAAAATTAAATAATAATAACAATAATTGTTTAAAATAAAATTATATATTTATTAGGCTAATTTGAGGTTTTCATGGAAATTAATGAGCTGATTGAGAGCTTTCAAAATAAATCAAGGTTATATTAGTCAATCAGTGTGATTACCAAAAGTTCCCGTACAACATAAGGGTTATATTAGTCAAACTATTATGGAATTACCAAGTTAGTTTTTCAATATTTTTGGAATGTTCGAACTTGAAATTATTATTTAAAATAATATTATTTTTATCCAAACCAAACTACGAAGCATGTTTTTTTGCCAAGTAGGATTCTGAAGCGTGCGAGGCTGTCACTTAGGCTCAGCGCATTCTGCAATTATATATAGAGTGGGATATTTTAGATGCTTTTATAGATGTTATAAAATATTTTAAGCATTTTTAATATTTATATATCACATTTGAAAAGAATATTTTGCCAAAAAAAAAACATGAAATACACATTGTAAATATTAATAGAATCAGTCTTCAGTGTTCGTCTTTGATCTCAATTACATATAAAATTTCTTTTTATTTGTCACATAATTTTTGGTGTGCATTAATCTCGATTTGTATTTGTAAAATTGATAACTTTTGCATTAATTTCAAATTGTATTTGTAAAATTGATAAATTGTTAAGCGTACAAATTCCTTTTTATGGTAACAACTTAAAAAATGATAGTATTTTTTGAAATATTGTGTAGTTAAATCTTCATATGGAAGTAACATCATAATTATGTTATCTTATAAATCTTCTCTAAAACAACTTTAGCATGAGATAATGTCTTTATTTAAGCTTATAATATTTTAGATACTTAAACAAAATATTCAGACATATTTCTTTACAAAATAGTTTAAAAAATCTTACATGCACATCTATATTTATATAAAAAGACATTCTATTTACTAGAATTAGTAATAAAAAAAGTCAAAGGTAATTAATGCATTCCGTTTCTATCAAGTATTTTATTTAATTGTTTTAGTGTTTTATCTCATAACACCTTTTCAATACAACTTACCATGATTTTTCTATTGGGATTAAAAACCAAATTCTTAAAATCTTGTGAAATTATTATTATTATTTTTATAAAGCACATATTATTTGTTAAAAAATTATATATATATATATATATATATATATAATACACATCACAATATCATGGTAGATGATTTAAATTCCAACCGACCAAAATGTCAATGATTTAAATTTGAACACACCTATGCGTTTGACCAAATGTGTGGATGATTTAAAATTGAGCCCATAAAAAATTATTTAAATTTGAACACACCAGAAATTTTATGTACTTTTTATTTATAAATATATTGAAAGTGTTATTTAATGGATGCTATATAAACTATTTTAATATATTTGCAATCAATAAAAGTTTGAATGATTAATTTGTAATGTTATTCATAATGTTTGTGACTTATGAGACACGAACACATAACTCCATACATATTTGCCAGAGGACGGCTTAATAATTTTTTAAATTTAATGTTGATTAAAAGAGATAGAAAATAGATAATAACTGTGAAAATAACTCATTTAATATCTTTGTCTCGGTATTCAATAGTTGCCTTTAAATTGTGGCTGGGAAACTAGCACTGCGCTTATCAAATGGAAGTCATTCTGGGAAGCTCATCAGCCTCTCCTTGTGCTCAACCTCTCATCTTCACCAACTCCCGCCGAAATCTCACCTTTCTCTCCTCGCAGGTGCACC